ATATCGAAATTTGTTTTTTCAATCTGGTGATTATATCATGATCTACTAAATTTACAATATAACTTTACAATATTGCAAAAATATTAAATAAAAATAAAGCTAAACTTCAACCAAAAAGCATAATTCCCACAGACTAGGTCAACAGTTCAAGTCGGGCTGGAGGCAAAATCTTAGGATTTTTTGCTTCTGTAACCCAGAAGGAGGCTATAATCAAATGTGGAGCCCTGTGGTTAAGTCCAAGTGCAAGTACGAAACTAGAAAAGAGAATTCCCAGAAGGAGATCCAATTGTGAAGCGGTGGCACTACGCATGACACCGAGTTATAAAAGGTTCTGTTATACGAAGGTTGCACATATCAGTTCTTGATTAGGGGTGACCAAGGCAGCACCAACATTCCTGCATCTAACTTGTGGGATACTTGCTTGGAAGTGTGATATAATGGTAACATAACTGGAGTAGTGAGAAAAGTAGAGAACACGAGGATGATCTGTGAAAAAGGATTGGTCCAACTAAAATTAGAAGCACCTCTGGCCCCAAGCCACTTGGCCTATTAGAAAAAGACCTCATGACAACAGAGTAAGTAAGCTAAAACTCAGGATATACAATAATAACTCAAAATAGCTAGATTCATCAGGCTGGTAGTATATTATATGAATAGAGCTTGCATACCAGAAAAACCAAAGGATATCAAGATTAATTGGGAGTATTACAGACCACAAGCCAAACTAGGTCTATACCTCTAGTGTCTTGTAACCTAAAATATCAGAGTACTGGAATACCATAGTTACTAAATGGTATCTAATACATCAGTCTATGAAAGAGAAGTAATACGAAAAACTGCTATCTGAGAGTTATAAAGTAACTTGTAACGCAACATAGTAAACTCGCACCAATATATAAAAATATCTATCCAATATGATAATAAAAATTAACAAGCATACTAACTAAACTAGGCGTTAATAACAGAGGCTTAACCTGGGTTAGCATAAAGCCTACTAGTAGGACTCACCTGAGCAGGCTAGCTGAGGTTCACCAAGATTAGAAGTAGTCTAATTAGGCTATGAGGCCTTCCTATAAAGAGAATTATCAAATTTGAAAGCTTGGATATAAGTGGTATGAATGATGCAGAGAATGTAGTTATAAGGAGTATACCGAATAGGACTTGTAAAGAGTGGTAAAATATCAGGTGAGTAGGTTGATGATGACATATCATTCTGGTAGATTTGGATCACAGATAATTGGATCGGCGGCTGGTAGCGGATAAGGACACCTATTGTGCAAGTAATGGTTTCGGTCAGAGCATAGGTTACTAATAGGATCTGGGTTTAAGCTTAGTATACTTGATATATATAATACGAAAAATATGATGATATATGTAAAGTATTATTAATAAATAAAGTCATGAGCAAAATCCCACTTTAAAAAAAAAAACAAAAAAACAAAAAGTGTAATTGTAGAGAAAATTTTGTTTTAGAACTCTCACTGCTGATCCTCTGTATACAAAAATACAAAAACAAAACAATGATAAAAAACAACAGAAATATACAAATAGCTATAGAAAACAAGTTTTGCAGCTCTAAAAAAAAAGCAAAAAGACTAAAATTAATACTCAGTCTCTTAAGAGACTTGAGTAAATAAAGCAGAAGCAGCAAATATATAGTAGAAAAACTTGAAAAATTGATAATAATTTTGTCCTTTGTAAGTTGTTTGATAGATTGGCCTTAACTCTGTAATGCAGATCAGTTACTATCACACAAGATATACAACACATAATGAAGAATAAACAAAGAAAACACATTAAAAAACATGTGACAGATGAAAACAAAAGAGATATATAAACACAACAACAAATTAGTTGCGTAAAGCAAGAAACAATAAAAAATGCCAAAACAAAACCTATAATAGCAGAACAAGCAGAGGAACAAATAGCAGTATTATATATAGAATTAAAACAACATAGAGCAGAAAGGATTAAATACACAGAACTTGCATTCAAAGAAAGAAATAATACAGTATATCAAGAGGCAGTATATTTAGAAATCAATCCTACAAAACACATCCTACTAAATGAAGTAACCAGTACTATAAGAAACTTATACACAGCAGAAAGAAAAAGGCTGTTTACACATAATAAAGAAAGATTGGCTGCTAAATACGCAAAAGCTAGAATAAAAACAGAATGGATGAAAAGATTAGATAAACAGAAAAAGTGTCGACAAAGGCAGTATAATAAAATAATATTAGAACTATTACTACAACACTTTAAAGAATTAGTAGAATTAATGAAAATAAAGCAACATGAAAAAAAAAGTAAAAATAAAACTAGAAAGAAAATAAAGAAGGTGCAAGTTTGACAAAAAGCAAAGCTGCTAAAACAAAAATATAAAGAAGCTAAAAAAAAAAAAAGAAATATTAAAGAAAAGAATTACAGAAAGAGATATTGAAGGCCTAATAGAAAAAGAAACTTTAGACAAACTAACTGAAGAATCAAAACCAAGAATTCTGGCAATAACCTTAATAGAAGAGGAAAAATCCATTAAGATACAAGTCAAAAACCCATGAAGGAAAATACTAAAATAGATAGCAGTTTTTATATACCAAGTAAATTTAGAAAGTAGACAAGATAATATTAAAGATTGGAAAAAGAAGAAAAAAGAAATCTTAGAAGAATGGAGTAGACAAATTAGATCATTAACGAACATTAGCATAAATAAAGACAATACTATATAAGAGATAGCAACAGAAAGAACAATAGAAGTCAAGAATTGGAAAAAAAAAAAGAAAGATACCAGGTTTAGAATAGCAAAAAGAAATATAAGAAAAGTAACCAGAAATCAAAAGAAGTACTTTAAACTGCAAAAGAAACCATATAGAAGAAAAGCAAGCTTATGGAATAAGAAAGAGAAAGCAGATACGCAGTTCCAAACAATCAAGAACTGGAAAAGAAAAAAGAAAAATTTCACTTTAAAAACAGTAAAGAGGTTTTTAAAAAGACCAAAAGATAAAGAGAAGTATACAAGACCTTGAAATGCATTTATTAGAAGAAATATAAGACTATGGAGTAGAAGAAAGAAAGAAAACACAAAGTTTCGATGAAAGAGAAAAAGAAAATTCAAACAAGTTAACCAAAACCTAGAAGCAAAAGAATCAAAAGTAATATTGAAGAAACTAGAAGAAGGAAAAAGTTGCAGACAAATACTTCTGGAGGAAATCTGTATAAAGAATATGATCAAGAGTAAGAAGAATAAGGTGAAGTTTAGAAACTGGAAGAAACACAAAAAAAAGAGAGAAAGTAGAAGATTGAAATGCCAGAGCAGACTACCAGTAGAAAAAAAAGAAATGGAGTATGAAAAGATGAATTGAAGAAATTAAGTAATAGCAAAATTTTTGGAATTTATAAAATAGAGAATACACAACATAATAATCTTACTTTAAGATTAGCAATTCAATGCTTTGCACTGTTCACAAGTACTGGCACAGCCAAAGCGCAATTACATTGTGGAATATAAATATAATTAGGTAGTACTGACAAGGTGGGTAGTCGCCAGCCGATGACCAAAGGGAAATAAATCCTTAGTGAGTTAAGGATCCGGAGGAAGGCCAAGGACTACTGAGGCAGGTCGCACCTGGGCGAAAGCCGGGGGTGAGTCTCTAGTTTGATAGAAATGTAAAAAGCGTAATTGTAAGCTTAAAAGAAAATTCCAGAATCGATATCCATTTTTGGTAAATTTTACGCAAGCCAATATGCTATTCACCACTCATATTTTAGGGTATAGTAAATTTTGTCAGTCGGGAAACCCCTATTTTAGCAAGCCATCATGATAATTAAATTTTTTGGCACCTGACATTTAAGTGGGTGTTTTCCTAAATAAACTATACTGATGCAGTATCGGTATACTCAAATTACCACTCTAAAAACTTAGCCAGCCAATCAAAAATAGCTCGTAACTAAAAGTTTGCCCGTGAAACTGCTTTCTTAGTACCACCATGCTTTTCAAACCTTAACATGATGACGAAGCGAAAAGTTGTAATAAAAACAATAAAGTGCAGCCGTAAAGCAAGAAAGGATAAAAAATATTTACTTGTAAATGATAATTAACTTGAAAAGTTAATATTTATCGTTACCTTTCGTAAGAATATTCACAAATTTTGGCCGATATTTGATTTCGGCCAAAGTTAATCTTGTACGACCATAACATGTCCGACCGAATAAAGATCGTAAATAAGAATAAAAAAGGGGGGCAGAAATAACCATAAGAACATTTTTTTTTTTTTCCTGTAGTTCTTTACTAGAAACCTTTACAAAAAGACGCACAACCATCCTTAACACACAATTAGGATCAATCAATACCTTTATTTGGATCGGTTGAACCTTTTCCGGTTACTATTTGGTTTATACTGTCTATAGAATAACGCAAATAAATGAGTTATCGCAGAACAACCTTGTTTGTGGCTGGCTTTGGACACCAAATTAGAGCTAGAGACTTAGCATATGAGTTCGAAAGGTAAAAGCTCAAAAAAAAGAAAAAAAAAAGCATTAACAGTGGTCTTACCTTAAAAGTTGAGCTCAGTCATAGCTTTTCCGTCTTACAAGTTTTTAAGTATACTATGTTTATCAATTATAGATATGGACGTCTAATCAGGTGCGATATTCCAGCCCCAAGAAGCTTTTCGTCGAAACCGTAAATATCACATCAATTTTTTCTGCTTTTGTTTTGTTTATTTCATACCTACATGTTCTACTTTAAGAGCTAGTAGCAAATTCGTATGAATTTGATTTATTTATCGAAAAATGAATAAAATTTTCCTTTGACATTCTAAAAAAAAAAAAAAAAGGTACGCTTTTGTTGAGTTTGAAGATGAGCGAGATGCTGAAGATGCCTACTATGAAATGCATGGACGTAGAGTTTATGGACATGCTTTAAATATTCAGGTACATTTCTCAGTTATCTTTGTGATTAAATTAAACATTGAATACATGTTATTTATCATCATCACTATTCAGTGGGCCAAAAATGCACCTTCGAGGTCTTGGAGATACGAAGGTAGTAATAGAGGCTCTCCCCGTAGAAGTCGCCGATCTCCTACTCCTCCGCGCCATAGAAGACGTCGCTCATATACTAGATCTGTGAGTCGTACCCGATCTCGTTCTCGTGGACGCAGCCGCTCTCCCCGTTCTGACACACGCCGTAGTCGTACGAGATCCAGAAGTCCTAGGAGCCCTGAGAGGGGAGATCGAACCAATGGAGATGAACGCATGGCTGAAGATAGAAGGTCCAGGTCTATATCACAATCGAGGGGTGAAAGCAAACGTCGTGACTCTCGCTCATCTTCTCGTCCCCGGGAGGAAACAAGAGAAAGAACTGAAAGATCTCCAGGAGACAGGTCTCCATCTCCGAACGGCCATCCGGCATCCCGCTCTCGATCAATGTCTCCAGCAGCACGTCGTTCTCAGTCGAGAAGCCCTAAACGAGAATAAGAAAAATAAAGGCGAATGACCAAGCCGCAACAACACCAGCTATATTTCGAAGGATACAGTGCTTTAATACAGCTTTTTTTGCCATGTAAAATTTCTAAATATTCTCTATCTTATAGCTTGTGAGTTGCAGACGAATTCGAGTAGCATATATTTCCCTCCACTTTCTTTCTGTTCCTTATTTCTATATTTCTATTATTTTTTATGGGCGGGATCGTATGTTTGAGTTATTACTTTGATGAAAAGTTTCTTTTGTCTATGCTTTATTTTCTTGTGATACTTTGCATATTATCAATATTATCAACGTGTTTCTTTATTGGTTATTCTCAAAATTCAAAAAAAAGTGAGCAGTTATCGGTCACGGGTCGGAACGGTCGGTCGCAAGGTTGTTCTTTTCGCGGTGGTTTCCACATAGACAAAAAACAACAATCATATAAACGAGTTAGACCATGTCCCTACTCAAACAGTATGCGGATATCCATACGACTCGAAAGTCTTTCGAACGTTTTGTGCACCTTGTACAGTCGAGTCTCTTCCCACATCGCATACCATCCAAACGACCACCGTTTCTCATCAAGTGTTTTAAATAATAAAGTATATTGCATATATTTTAGTTTTAAAAGTAAATAATTTTCTAACAATGTTACATTCAGCATGGAAAATTACTTTTGCTCTTCTCCTTAACGTTTCTTACGGGGCCTAATCACGATTAAATCGCTTTTTCAACATTACTTTGAATATCGGGGAAACACATCCAAGGCAGCGACCTTTCCAAAAAAAACAAAATAAATAAATAAATAAAAAAAGAGAAAAGAAAAAAAAAACATAAAAAACATAAAAAACAAGAAAAACAAAAAAAAGAGAAATTCCCCAAAAATTGTAAAATATAAATCAAATGATTTCAAGCCGCAAAAGAAGCAATCAAATATAGGTCTATACCCCGGAAAAAGCGAAACTTTTGCCATTACGACATAAATTAACTGGTATGACATTCATAAAGCCCATCTGAGATTTTTATTGATCATATTTCTTGGATGTTCTGTGTACATTTATGTGGAGTCGCGACTGAAATATAATATGCCTTACAAGTATGGCGTACCTTTGAAAAATACAAATTTCGACAAAAAAAAAAAAAAAAAAACAGTACATTTTAATCCTAACCCAATGCGAATTTTAGAAACGATCATCCAGTTAAGTATTTTTCTATATTCTTTTTTTTGCACACGTTTTGACAAATAATCTATCGTATATGTATCCTTTTCAGTAATCTTCAAAAGAACTTGTATTAATTAACGGTAAGGTTTGGAGAATTAATTGATTTCGTGCAGAACTATTATTACAGCTGTTTCAAAAAAAAAATAAATAAATAAAAATGTTTTCTTTTTCTGAATGAATTATGAAACTGAAAATCCTAAAGTTTTCGTTTTGAGACACTTAAATAATATTAAATAATAAAAATAATTTTCCAATTTTATTGTAAAAATATTGTTTATTGAGTCTGTTACGACATTGATCGCTAAATTTAGAGTTTCATTTAGCACTAAATGCCTGCATTAATCGCCAATAACAATACATTTGAAATAGTCTGGATTATCCAGCCACAAAATTGCAAAATGTCTCAATATTGTAAAGTGAGAATTTTATTCAACTTTATGAGCTGTAGCTCTTTTCTTTTTAAGATCTGCTTTCCTTTCTTTTTGCTCCTTTACACGTTTGGCAAGCAGGATTGCATATTCTTCTTCTGCTGCTTTGGCTGCCTGAGCTCTTCTACGCTTAAGAGCGATACGATGACGTTTTCGCTGTAAGGTAAGAGGAGTTACAAGGCGTTGAATTTTGGGAGCTTTTGTATAAGACTTCTTGCCTTCTTTTTTTGGTTGAACTTCACGACGGATGACAAATTTACGGACATCGTCTTCCTTAGATAGGTTCTATATCAAATGAAAAAAAAAAAAATAATAATAATCATAAATAATTTTAAGCCAAAATAAACTTAAACCCATGAAAAAACGTACAAAAAACTTGCGAATTTTTGAGGCTCTCTTGGGACCCAAACGTTTGGGAACGGCATTATCAGTTAGTCCCGGAATATCCTGTTCGCCCTGTTTAACTACGACCAAAGACAATACAGAAAGGTCACTCCCTACGATACACCCACGAACGGATTTCCTTTTACGTTCACCAGTGCGACGAGGCCTGTAACATGAATGCCCCTTGGATAACAAGAGCCGTACGCGATCGTTGCGTAAGACACCTTGCTTCATAGGAAAGCCTTGTTTGTCATTTCCTCCAGAAATTCGGAACACGTAGCCCTTAAATTCATCTCCGATAGAATCGCCAGGAACCTCAGCGCTGATTCTTTTGTCATAAAAGACACGTCTATTCAAGAGTTGCACCAAAAAACAAATATGATCCAAATCAGCATGTTTGTCGAGTATTTTAAATTCCTTTATAAAGTAAATTTATTTGCTGCTTTGCATGATTCAATAAATGACCAATTGATATTCTTATCAATTTATTCGTAAGTCAAAAAATAACAATTAAATGTTGAAAAAGTAATCTAATATCTAGTAAACGATACGATTTTCTTTGGTACCCACAATCTTCGTTCATCATCAATATCGATCAATTTTTGGCAACCAGTGGCCGGATTGGCGATATTCAACTAAAAACAGATATTACGTTAGGTTACTGATTATTTTGAAATTTTAATTCGAATAGGAAAATGGATGGTATATATCAAAATCTAGTTTATTTAATGCACCAGGTATGCCATTGAAATGCTCCAAACTGTCTGTTTGTTATATAAAGATCTTTCAACGGGTTGATAATATTGCCACCATGCCATTACCTTCATATCGAATAAGCGTTCTTTGATCCGTTGGCCAAATTGAAGAGAAGGATCTGTTTAATTTAAATTAGATGCTTTTTATTTTTTTTTTTGTATTGCGTCACATGTTATGTCGATCAATGGCCGGCATTATGAAAAATTGAGTCAATATGTCAATTTTTTCATGATCAATAAATCAATCTCGACATACTGCGCCGAAAATATAGTATTTTTTCTATAAAGATTTACCAGTAACCTTGTAGAGTTTAGTTCTATGTATAAAGTTATTGGGAAATTTTTTTTTATATGGTGCTTCAAGTTACTTCTTATCGTTATCAAAAATCATGTACAGTATTAAGTTTTAAATATTTTTCAAATTATCGGTTAGAATTTTTAAAAATGTTTTAAGATTTAAAGTTATAAGTGTTTGATTAGTCACAGAATATTCTCTTATACAAGAGTTTTTTATTGCTATTACTTATAAATCAAATAAGTTGATACACTATATACTACAGTATATTCTTTATCATTTTATAACCCTTTGCTAAAAGCTTTGTTTTTTAATTGCTAGTAGTTTAAAGAAAATCTTCTATTAAAGTTAATATATTTTGTTTTTTTATGTTCTTATATAAAGGTTTCTATTGCTGTTACTTATAAATCAAATAAGTTGACACACTAAATTTATATTTAAATTTTAACAAAAAAATCATTAAAATTTAATTTATTTAAAAAATACTATATATACAAAACTTTCTTAAAAATTTTAATATTAATGGTGAGGACTTTCTTAAAATTTTAAAATCCTTTGCTAAAAGTTGTTTTCTTAATTGCTAATAGTTCAAAAAAAATCTTCCATTAAAGTTGATGTATTTTTTGTCTTTATAACCCCTGTAAAGTTAAATTTAATAAAAATTTACATATACGTACGTACGTACGTAAAATTTGGTATGTCACTTCATTTGACTCATAGTATATTAATAAAAAATTTTTTTGATTTTTTTTTATCCAATCAGAATTAGTATATAACGCATTATGATTGGCCAAAAAGCATTTATGTATACCCCAAATTTGGCGCATTTATGACGAACATTTCCCGTGCTAATTAACCAATCAAATTGCATAATTCTAAAGAATTTACGTTATTCATTTTTTTTTTCATATAAAGCTTTTAAATTATTAATAAATATATAAAAGAACTATATGCAAAGGACAGAACGTAAAGTGCAGTGAAAGTGGTATTTATTATAAACTCAAACTCATACGATCTATAAATCAAAGCTTATTACGATTGACAGATCCAAACACGCTGTAAGAACCGAGCATTGACCCCGAGCCTTCTTCTATCATCATAAGCTTTATTCCTATCCAATAGTAACAAAAGTTTAGTTAAATCTGACATAATAAATAAGGCAGTCTTGTACAAAACGTTTGTAGTTATTTCATTCTATATACAATATAATTTGGTATGATAGACATGTTTTGTACTTCTCAGCAAAGTTCTTTAGTAAAACGTTCTTTCTATGAAAATTAAATTACCGAAATGGGATATATATTGGTTTTGGTTATGAGCATAAGTACGTACGTACGTAGAAATCCCAAACCCCAATCCCCAATTGAATGTATAATAACGATAATGCCGTAATTTAACAAAAAAGGATTGGACCGCAGCCCTAATTCATATATATATTAAATATTATATTTATTATGTTTGAATGAATTATAATAATGAATTTTATATAAATAAATTTTAATATTTAAGGCACAATAATGATAATTTAAATATTAAGACTCGAGTGAAAAACCAAACCGTTCATTTATGTGACGATTCCAAGCTAATTTACCTACTTTAATAAGAGGTACAAAGTTTTCTTCCAACGTTAATAAAATATTGAATCATTCGCTTATTATCAAAATTCACGAATTCTATTGGCCAAAGACGATATGCAAGGTCAGAACGTTACGGTAACACTAATTTCCTTATTTGGGACGGTCCCTCCTGCTAGGCAGCCGTGAGCATCTTTCGGTCTGCATAGAATATCAGACCACTCACTACCTGTTATGTTTAGTGTTTACCACCTATTATACCACCTAGTGCGCCTCGTTAGAAGAATCCAAAACAATCATCACATCATCTACCGTCGTTAAATCCTCCAAAAATGGTATTAGATCCAACAGTTCTGTGTCATGAGGGTCATTAAACCATGATGATATGGGAACAGCATTTGTA